AGGCCAAGCTATCCTAAAATTTATAATCCTCCTGTCTCAGCATTCTGTGTGCTGAGGTTATAGGCATGTACCACCATATCTGACTCCGTTTTAAAAATACCTTCTTACCTTTGAACATTCTGTGACAAAGAAAAAAGCTATCATTTAAAACTAATGGAAGTCCAGTTTACAAAAGTTGCAAAAAAAACTTCAAATTTTATGTGTATGTATAAAGTTTTTGTACTAATCTACACTTTTTGTTTCTATTTATGCTTACTATATTTCACTTATACTTTGCTTAGGGTTTTTGTTTTCATGAAGGGGTCCCACTTTTCGACATAGCCAAGGTTAACACGGAAGGTTCTGTGGCCCTTGCAATTCTCATCCCCAACCTCACAAGTGCTGAGATTACAGGCCTGAACTACCATGTCTGGCTCATTTTTGAATTTCAAATGCAGAAGCAGAAGAATCAGGATATTGTCATATTAGGATGCTGGTACTTACCAGCCATTTTGAGCTCCAAGCCACATGGTTGGTAAAAGACTGCTCATTTTCTGAGCTTCTTCTCTCACCAGGTCTTGCTCATTTGGCAATACTGATATTTGATCTTTGTACACATCTGACTCATTACTGGGAAAATGAAGCACAAGGGGAAAAAAAACCCACACTGAGTATACATATTAGCTTCAGTTTTCAGGAATAAAGAGTTCTATATTTAAGCTTACCCCAATGAACAAACACTGAGATTCCAGAAAAGCCAATGTTAAATGCTTACACATGAAGTAGTTAAACTACTGTACCAAAAATACTAACTAAAGTTCAAAGTGGATAAAGGGTATAATACACATAAGTTAATATCTAAGACTTTAATCACGGTTTTCAAAAAGAAAAAAAGCCAAAAACCAACCAAAACAAAACATAATAGAAAAAGTTATGGTTTTCTTATTAATTATTCTGACATTTTTTGACAGTTTTTTCTGGGGTGGGTGGAACAGAAAAGGGAGAGATAGTTTGTTTTAAAACCACTCACCCCCAGAGGAAGCTGATGTATAATTTTTTAACGTATAATTAATTTATAAAATCAATTATAGTAAAACATGTTTATATTCCATTTAAACCCCTTTTTTGGAGTTGTCAAGGCATAGTAAGTAGACAATATAAAACTGGGCTATCAAATTCAAAACATGGCTTTATTCTGAAGTTAATTATAAATGCTAATAGACTCTTGGTTGCTCTATATACTAAGAAAAATAAATCGCAGAAAAGACCAGTTTACAAAGAACTGTATCTTAGGGGATGGAAATATGTACTAAATGGCTCTGAATTAAACAGTCCTTTAAAGCAGAGGGTTCAACAACAAAATCTGCATGAGAAGTAAATTCAAAAGGGCTACTTCAAGTCTTATTTTGGGAAAAACCAAACAATGACAAATTTAAACAATGGCTAATTTTGATGATAAATGGAGTGGGAGTAAATATGGAGGAAAAACAAACAAACAAACCAACAACTAGAGTCATTGGTAGAATGGAAGTCAGAACACCACAATGAAGACAGTAACAACACCAGGAAGACTTGGACCAATATACCATATGGACAAGGGTACGGTTTTCGTTTCTTTTTTTAAATGTTAGAAAATATAGTTAAGAAATGGATGGAAAAATCTCCAAAGAGAATGAATAAGAGAATAAAGCATCTTTCAGTTTCCTATAAGAATGACAATTAAGTGGGCATTCTGACTATTTGACACTATTTTGATTCTTTTTATTTGTGCAGATTGTCCCAATACTGATTTAGGATGCATACCTTGACTGAAACACCGGGGAGAGGTCTTCTGGGATCTGAACTCCCAGAGGATCTGTAAACACGTGTTCTGTGTACACACCAGGTTGGGAGATATCCACAGTGTCTTCACTGGACCCTGCATTGCCCTCTGTGGCTTCAGTTGCTTCTTCTGCTGTTGGAACATTTTCATCAACCTCACTATTTTCAGCTTCCATTTCTAAAAAAACAAACATTCTATGCTGAATGAGTTTTTCTACTCCAATACTTTCCAATACTCTACTCCATGACTCCCTCCTTGGCACTGCAGTGACATGGAGAACTCCTTCTCACAGTCACTACAGCACCTTCTTTTCAGCTCTTTCACCCTGGCTACTTTAAGGTTGGCAAGTCTGTAATGTGGCATTCTCAGGATAGGCTCAGAGTCTCCACAGGTGTACCTGGTGGCTTTTCTATCACTGGAGAAGCACCGTTGGTACTGGGGGAAGTGGCAGTTCCTGTCACTCCTTCTGTGGAGCACCCAACCACCGTGATGCCTCCCAGCAGGCTGTCCATCTCTGCAGAGCTGTTGCTGGTCATGCTTCCACACAACGATGCTTTGTCCACCTGACCAGACTCAGAAAGTTCTTCTCCGGCAGGGTAGTCTGTTTCCCGAGCTCCTAAAACAAGCAACTTTCTCTTAATACCCACTAAACCAAGTAGCACCTTTTTTCTAGTAAAGCAACCTGAGGCCTGAAATGAGAGTACACAGGTGAAACATACAGCTACTAGAATACACCAAGAGGCAGTGTTAAATTTATTTAAAGTAATCTTGATAAAATGAAAAATTAATTTAGAGGTAAAATACCATTTGTATTCGTTCATATTCTAATGAAATACCTGTTTTTTTATTTTTTTTATTTTGTATTAGATAGGGTAGGCAATATGGACAGAAGGTAAAAAAGCATCTGCTGCACAGACCTGATGACCTGAGTTTGGTCACTATAACCCACCAGTGGGAAGATAAAACCAACTCCCCAAAGATGTCCTCTGGTTTCTATACATGCACCGTGGCATGGGTCACACTCACACACAGTAATAAATTAAAAAGTTTTTATAATATGGATTTATTAACCTTAGACAAAAATATGAGGGTGTGATTTTTGGAGACAAGGTTTCACTTGATCCACATTGGCCTTGAACTTTTTGTAGTCAAGGCTGACCTTAAGAGTCCTGATCCTCCTGTCTCCACCTCTCAAAAGCTGGGATTATAGGCAGACACCACCACAAATAATACAAAACAGAAAAGATGATAGCAAGATGCTCAGTTGGCAAAGCACCTGCTGCACAAGCCTGGTGCCCCAAGTCTGATCCCTGGAACCATTTTAAGATGGAAGGAGAGAACCAACTCCATAGAGTCCTCTGACCTCTATAACCATGCCATGGCATAGGCAGTCTCTCTACATACCACACCATATACAGTAAAAACAAAAATTTTCAAGACTGAAAAGGGCCCCATATTTCAGGAATTAGTAACTATTTACACAGTAAGTAAAAAAGAAAACTAATTAGTGGTCAAATAGCCAATATACAATATAATCAGTTAACATGGGACCAAAAATTCATGTAAATCATGCATCATATTCAACTTAATATCCTGGCTTCACTCCCCACAAACACAAAAACACATTAATTCAAGTTAACTCTGTTAACTGTATCTATTAATTTATACTTTCATCTGAAAAATTTCCCCCTTTTGGGGAAGAGATTGAGACAGCATTTTGCTACATAGGGTGGGGCTGGCCTTCACTGGTTATCAGTTTGCCTTGGCTCCCTGAGGGCTGGCATTACATGCTAGCCACACTGAAGCTGACCTTCCGCCTCACCGGGACACATCACTGCCTCCTACATTTCTTCTTTTTTTTTTTTTTTTTTTTTTTTTTTTTTTTTTTCTGACACTTCCAACTTTACTGAGCAGTTCTCATATTTGGGCAAAGGTTAAAATTGTAGAGAGCAATATCTTATCAATTTTGAACATCAGGATATCAATTTTGAACATTTTTTTTCAAAGTAGAAATAGGTTAAATCAAAAAGGATCTAATTTTAGAGTAAGTATCAACAGCTCAAGTTTCAGCAGTATTTACTCATACAAATAAAATCAAGAAAATAAGGAGAGCCAATTTGAGTCTTGGCATTACCATTTGACAAGAGCAAGTTCTCAGGTCATTGTATTCAACAAAGATCTGGAAATACTATCTTGGATCCTACCTACATAAAATTCCCAAGAATTTTTTTTATACTAACTAGAAATTGGGCAAAGTACAACTTGAGAAACAGATTGAGCCACCTTTGCTCTAATGAGCTCCTCAGCAGCTACAGGAGGTTAAAACAAGTAGTAACATCAAGTCAGGAAAAGGGGAAGGGAGTGAGCTGGTTTAGCAGATAAAGGGGCCTGCTGTTGAGCCTGATGATCTGGAGTTTGATTCCCAATGCCCACATGGAAGGAGAGAACCAACTCTTCAGAGTTATTTTCTGATCTTCAAAATGAGCATTGTAGTATCATGACCTCTCCATTACCACACAAATAAGTAAAATATGATAAAAATTTTCCTTAAAAAAACAAACAAAAAACCCTGGGGGGGGGTGCTGGAGATGGATTAATGGTTAAGAGCACTAGCAGAGGACTAGGGTTAGATTCCCAGCAGTCGTATGGAAGCTCACAACTATCTGTAACTCCCTTACCATGGGGAATCTAATGCCTTCTTTTGGCCTTCGCAGACAACAGACATGTATACAATGTACATAAAGGAAAAACTCATACAAAGAAAATACATTTAAAAAAAATCATTTTTTAGCCAGGTGGTGGGTGGCATACTTGGTAGGCAGAGTCAGACAGATGGATAACTGTGAGTTTGAGACCAGCCTAGTCTACAGAGCCAGTTCTAGGACAGGCTCCAAAGCTACAGGGAAATCCTGTCTTGAAAAATAAAACAAAACAAAAAAAATCAAGCACTTACAATGAAAAATCATTTTCATTTCTAACACATCAGAAGATACTGTTTTATTTTATTACTTTTTTTTTTTTCTTTTCAAAACAGAGTTTCTCTATATAGCCCCTGCTGTCCTGTAAGATCTGTAGACCAGTCTGGCCTCTGAGATCCATCTGCCTTGCCTCCCAAGTACTAGATTAAAGGCTTAAAGACATGTGCCACCGCCACATGCTTTAAAATTTATTTTAAAGTAGGTTTTGTTGTTGTTGTTTGAGATGTCTTGTAGTAGTTCCTCCTTTTCATAGACTTAACAAGCAGTCCTGTGAGTCGGGCAAAACCACAAGCTATTATATGAGGCATTTCCAATGATGTGTGGCTACTAGGGAAGGTGTATTGGGATAGACCTCAAAAGTTTATTTTTTCAAATGATATAAAAGTTGTCAGTTTAGCCTTTTTGTTTTTCTTTTGGAAACAGAATCTCACTATGTAGTTTAGGCTGTCTCAATTAAAAAAACATATTAAATAACAGGGGGAAAAAGAATGTCATTTCTTTTATGGCTGACTAATATTTCTGAATTATTGTTTTCATTTTACACATGGATTCCAGAAGTTCAGGTGGCCTTCCTGTAGTAATTAGTCTAGGGAGCTCACCATCCTCTATCAACCAGCTATCTTCTCATATTGCCATTTTTTAATATTCTTCACACTATCCTTCAATAGTTAAAGAACACACTGTTGTTCAATGACTTTCAGTTTACTTTAAACCTCTTACTAGCACATAGGACCTGTAACAGGAAGCACAGAAGCACAATTCTATCAGTCACACCCATTCCCACTGGGAAGGAAGTGTAGATATAGAGAGGGAGGAGGCAGAAACTGGCTTTACCTGGGACACTTGCAATGCACAGAACATGAGAATTACAAACGGTGAAACTATCTAGGATGTTGCCAGGCTGAATAGCATCAATGATGATAACCTTTGTAGCTGCATGAGTGCTGGTACAGATCCAGACTTGACTGGACAACTCCTCTTGATTTTTTAATTCTTTCTGCTGTTCCTGAGTAGGCAGAGGAAAATATTTAAAATTATATGAATATGAAAATATCCCTAAGACTGTGTTCTTACACTAAAATGCAGTATTATTTCAAATTATTTCCAGATTACTTGGAAGGGTCAAACTACAATTGTTTATCAGTATAACTAGACTAAAACTAAGTAGTTAAGCAGATTGGTGATAAAAAAAGTCAGTATCTTCATTGTAGTAGTGGTCTCATACATTTGGCAAAATGGAACTGTAGTCACTTGAATATATGTAAATAATACCTCAATAAAATGAATATTAAAGGGATATATGGGGAAAAACAGCAAATTCACAGTAATCCTCACTACAAGTTGCCTCAAATAAGTTTTGCATTTAAGAGCTGACCTCCTACTCTCATAAACGAGGTCAAATAAGCTGCGCACTTACCTTGAGTTCTTGATCCAACTTATCTAAGCTACTCTGAGACGCACTTCGCTGTTTACTGCCTTCAGTGTCCAGACCAGCAACATCCTTGTAAAATACACTTGCTCCAACAACAGAACCACCGTCTCTGGTCTTGCCACCAGATAAATTGACACCTACGGCACACCACAGCTTTTCGGGGGTAGGGGCAGGAGAGAAAGGTATTATGGTTTGTTTGTTTTTTTTTTTTCTCTATAAATACTAAGAAAATTTCACTTTTTCTTAAAATAACTAAAGGTAGAACCATGGGTACGTTAATATACTCTAATGCTACACATTGGCTGTGGTGGCACATGCCTAAAATAACAGCACTTAGGAGAATAAGGCAGAGATAAAGGGTTTGAGGCCAAAACATGGAAGAAAAAAAGGAGTTCAAGACCATCCCAGATTATATAGAGATTCTGTCTCAAAATATAAAAAATTATCACATTTTAAAATGAGCAATCATTTTGCTATAAAAAACACAATTTGAATATTGTTTGTGGGGGTTCTACCTAGAGTTTGGGAAGTCAAAGGTGTCACTATCAGCTTACCTTCATAGACGAGTCTTTTTCATCTAGTGGTCTGAGATAGACAGGGACGGGAAGATTTTTCATCTTATTTTCCCCTTGACCATTGGCCACCTAATGGAGGGGGACACATATTAGTAAGCCCCATTAACACTGAACTTACAGAACCACTGAGACAGGGGCAAGCATGGTTGTTGCATATTTGCTCCTAAAATCATGTTCAGCTTGATTCTGTCATTCTTACTTGAAAAATAAGCAAAACCTCAAGTAGCAATTACAGACAAGTTCAACAGGAAGTAGAAGTTCACAATCACACATGTGCACATGAGTACATGTTTGTATAAAAAAAATGCTTGGTCTTTTAGGAGTGTAGGCCTAAAATGTTTTGTTTACATGATAGGGCTCTAAAAATTGCCTGAAAACACCTAGTCTCTAAATTTCTCTAAATGTGCCAAGTCCAAGAAGGCTGAAATGAGAAAATCATGATATTATTTTCAGTTCACCTGCATTTCCTGCTAGACACTTGCATCACATTCCCAAGTCACCTGTTTGTACTTTTGGGGCAGACTCCAGCCGAAAGCTTGTACTCGGCCGTCTTCCTTCTGAACATGCGCCTTCACCTGCCGGTACTGCTCTCTCTTCTGCTCTCTTCGGGAAGCTAAACTAGCCTCAGTTCTAAAAAACAAAAAGAAAAAAAAAGACATTTGCAATTTTAATTAAGTGAATCCAATAAAACCTCTAATCCCAGCATTTGAGTCGACCTTAACTTCACAGAGAATTCAAGACCACCCTGGGGTATATGACGCCCACACACATACACACTGGAACACAAGGATTATACCAAAGCTGATCTTTCCACGTTTGTAAAAACAGCCTTCTGCTGGTGGGAGCAGCACGTTGTATGAAACTGAGTTAGTTATTAGTCATCAAACTATGGGGTTTCAGATGCTATATATGAAAGGAAAAAGTTCTGAAGTAATTTAGGATCTTCCTTTTCTTTTTTAACAAATACCGAGAATTTTCTAATGCCCGATATTGTGCCATAGTATTCTTAGGAGGGTGATATAAATTAAACTTTTAGATTCTACTCACTATTTCACTCTTTTTTAAAAAAATATTTAATTATTTTATGTGTTTTGCCTACATGGATGCCTATGCACCATTTGAATGCCTGGTGTCCTCAGAAGCCAGAAGACAGCATTGGATTCCCTGGGACTGAAGTTTCAGATCATTGCGAGCCACCATGTGGGTGCTGGGAACCAAACACAGGTCCTTTGGAAGAACAGCAGTGTTTTTAACCTCTGAGCCATCTCTTTAGCTCCTATTCATTCATTTTAGAAGACAAAAAGGCAAACTGACTTAGTAAGCGTGAGTAAAATACAAAAATGATTCTAAAAATAATTTCTCTTTCTTTTGGTCATTTAAATTTTTGTGAGGTGACTTTCTGTATAAATCATAGTTTACAAAATCTACTGGTATGTCAGTACTACACATAATGTACAATATTAACCTAACACCTTTGAAATAATTTTTCAGAGAGGAAAAAAAGATGGGCTCTGAGAGATGAATCTGTCCACATGTAGAGTCAGAAGGGAAAACCAAGTCCTTTTGACAACCAAAGCAAATGTTAAAACACTAAGGATTAAATTAAGTATCCAGTATTTCTATTGATATTTATCAATACTGTTGTGTCAACAAAAATTCATTTTCCTTATGAAAACTATGAAGTGCAATTTTCTTTGTTCAAAAATGTGTATTACATTTTATTTATCCAGTGTGTGTGCATGTTTGAATGTGTGCCATGGTGTGCCTGAGGTGCTCAGGGAACAACTTGTAGAATTCTCTCCTTCCAAACATGGGACCCAGGAACCAATCTTAGTTTACCAAGCTTGGTGCAAGCCCCCTTACCTGCTAAGCCTGCACTAGTCCTGAAGTGCAACTTTCGTAAGTACTGGCTACAAGTCATTCATGCATTTTGGGTGTAAAGTCTTACCCTGTGGCCCAGGATGTCCTCAAAATTGCAATCTGCCTGACTCAGTTTCCACAGATTTAGGATTACATTACTTAGTCCTACAGGTAATTTACTTAAAGGCATCCATCCATGATACAAAAACCCATGTTCTTTTTTCTTCTTCTCTCCACAACCCCACCCCCACAAAATAATTTCCTTTGTTCTTTAAGATGAGGCTAAGTGTATAGCTAATGCTAGCCTGAATTGTCTATACAGATTGGGCTGGACATGAACTAGTGATGATCCTTCTGCATCAGCACCCTGGGATTAACAGGCTAAGCTATTACGTCTGGCTAGAAATAGTTCTTTAGTGTTATATGAACTCCTGTGTTGTAAGGGGGAGAGATTCTAACTATGAACTTACTCTTGGCATGACCATTTCTGGCAATACTTACTCCTCACTAAGGAAATCAAATGCCTTGGACTTATCACCAGGGAGCTGAGATAAGGTGCTGCTCCTTTTCTTTACGGAGGGAGTCACGTGAGAAGTGGGTGCATTGTACTTCAGATTCACGGGGGGTTCAGGCTTCTTTGTTGTATTACTTGAAGAGCTAAAAAGTCGGCTGAAACTAATAAAATAAAACAAGCAAACAAACAAAATCCACAAGTATATTTATTACATGCACTGTGAAAACCAATCCCCGATTTTCCATAATTTTTTATGCTCCAGGCAGTGAGTTAGACATTAGCAAAACCAGTTTTTATAGTTATACCACAGCCTGAGCAGTCAGTCACAGCCAAACTTGGACATTCAGGGTAAAGAAACCATTGCTTAGAATGCCAGATGCCTGTTCTTTAATACACAAGTTCCATAATGAAAGTGATGCGCCTGCATATAGAAAGCTTCTACGGAATTAACACAATACACAGGTTCCTTAGCTAGTTCCTATTGGGGATAATATCACAGTGGTTGTTAGGCAGCAAGGGAACAACTGTGTGATGACAGCAGAAGCTTAGTGTGCAGCACTTAGAACAGTCACATCACCAAGTTAACTCATATCATGAATTTTCCAAGCTAAATTTAAGCAACTATTTTCATGTCCACAGTTTAAAAATATTTATGCTTCCAGTAAACAGACTAATCCTAAAAGGGTAAGTTTTAACTTCGGTAAACACACAATACTTCTGGTATAAAAATAATAAAAGTTTAACACACAGAGACAAAGCAAGCAGTACAAATACTAAATTTATCGTCTTTTCTTTGATGGGGATTCATGTAATTGTCAATTTTACAAATAATTCCCCACTGTTTTATGTAAACTGGCAGAAGATTCCACCAAATGCATAACCAACACAATGCAGCTTACGATAGCCCACTTTGGGTCCTCAAGCATAGCTTACCGAGTTGGCATGCTGTATATTAAAGAGAAGAATTTCAGTTTAGC